CTCAATTCTATGCATACACAAATGTAAATTAATTATGTTTTGTGATTTACCAAGACTGAAGCATCTGCAGGGACATGAGCACCTGAAAAGGAACTGTTTACTCCAAGATTTGCAAAAGGATTTGCCCAAGAGATGTTCACCAAATCTTCAACAGCCATAACATGCTTTTGTCTCAACCCACAAGTTTCTTTCTTCTACCATTCTGATTCTCCCCCCCTCCCCTCAGGGGGAGTGTGGATGTGTGCTGCTGAGTGTCCAGCTGGGGTTAAAGCACAGCTCTGCAGTGCAAACCTGGAGTAAACTGCACAAGGGCACTTACACCAAATTATTCTGAAAGCAAAACAGGCCTGAAGCAGCCCCTCATGTAACAGATGTGCTGCCCTCTCTGGAATTAAAGCTTTATACTACCTTATAGTTAATTTCATTCAAAGAGCAACTTTTCTGGATGCCAATTAACTACAGCTTTCTATATCCCTTTAAAAAGGAACAAAACAGCAACTTCAGTTGAGCTATGTCCACTAAAAAAATTCCCAACAAAATAAATTTAACATATTAGCAGACTCAAACTGCTGTGATAGAGATGTTCAGCCTTCAAAACAGCTGAAATCTATTAAAGCCAGACTGAACAACAGAGGAAAGAGCCCACCCTTTCTTTTTTTAAAGTGCATAAACAGCTTAGAACATTGATCATTTATTATATCAACAACTAAAATAATTCCTGCTGCTTTCATCAAGATGTATAGGAGAAAATGGCCTGGTGTTTCTTGCAAAGAGCTTGTCCAGCTAAGCAACTTCAGCAGCAAAGGTGGGCAGGAGAAAACAGCCCCTGTTAAGTGATGGTTGACTGGAAGCTGATAAATTTTCCTCACCAGCACATTGTGAGGGTTTCCTTGTCCTTACCTCTCCTTGACGTCTCGTTTTGGGAGATGGACTGAAGAAATTTTGCAAGAAGGAAATATCATTGCTGAAGAGAATGTTCTCCTTCTCCAGGATGTATTGCTTCAGCAGGGGTGACACCTCATCCCCAAAGAGAGCCTGGTTGTCCTGCCAGATCTGTCTCTTCACCTCCACAGCACAGGCCTTGTACAGGTCCTTATCAGCCATCACCAGCTTCAGCTTCTTCTCAGGGACCTGCAGTGCACAGAGCAGTTACACAGTGAGCAGCACCTCACCTGCCTGCCTGTCCACAAAACCAAAACTGTCTGCAGGAGGCATCTTAAATCATGGAATCACAGAATATCCTGAGCTGGGAGGGACCCCCAGGATCATCCAGCCCAGCTCCCAGCCCTGCCCAGACCCCCAACATCCCAGCCTGGGCATCCCTGGAGCTCTGGCAGCCTCGGGGCCGTGCCCATTCCCTGGGGAGCCTGGGCAGTGCCAGCAGCCTCTGGGGGAAGAACCTTGCCCTGCTCTGCAGCCTGAGCCTGGCCTGGCCCAGCTCCAGCCGTTCCCTGGCTGCTGTCCCTGTCCCAGAGCAGAGAGCGGAGCTGCCCCTCGGGAGGAGCTGCAGCCCCCGGGGAGCTCTGCCCTCAGTCTGCTCCAGCTGAACAATCCCAGTGCCCTCAGCTGCTCCTCATGGGCCCCTCCAGACCCTTCCCATCCTTTTAACATTTTCCAACAGCTTTAGATGTTTTTTTATCTTGTGCCCAAACAACCCCAGGACTCAAGGGGAGGCTGCCCCAGTGCAGAGCAGGGAAGGACAATCCTCTCCATGCCCTCAGGCAGTCTGGACATCCACCCACCCTTAATTCTTCCAAAGAAAAAAAATAATCCACTTTAAATCTCCAGTGCTGAGATTTGAGGTGCTGTTTCTAAACTCAGTAATTTACTGAAGTTCCAGCAGTGTTTTGAATCCATTACCTGAGTGCATGATGCTGTTAGTAAGGACACTCTTAGAGATTTTTGTTTTGCAAACCTGATTCTCCCTCCTGCCTACTTTTAATTGCACTCTTCAAGTCTTAACTTCCACAGAGTCAGAGATTTCTAAATCAGCTGTGGAAAAATTCACCTATCAGCAAACTTGACTTTTTAGGAAGCTCCATGGATTGAAAAAACTAGGGAAATAGTCTCATCTGATTATGAAAATGTAAAATGCTTTTTGAATTAGTCCACTGAATTAATTTTGAATTAGTCCATTAGCAGAATGTATTGAATCTCCAGTCAGTCCCTGACCACACTTGCAGAAGGTGCAGAGGGAGCAGAGCCCACCTGCCAGAGGCACACCAGAGATGTGACACCAGTGACATACCAGGGATGTGACACCAGTGACACACCAGGGATGTGACACCAGTGACACACCAGAGATGTCACACCAGGCCAACCAGTGCAGTGGTCCCACCTTGGGCAAGTGCTTCATGACACACATGACCACAGGCTGTATCGAGGGCATCTTGACCAGGGAAAAGCTCTTCTCTAGGAGATCTTCCAGCTTCTTGTATCTGAAAATATGGAAAAACACGAGACTAAGTACCAGGGAGCAGTAAAGGAACCAAGTGGCCACCTCAAAGCCACTGGAACTCAGTCCCTGAGGAGCCAAACTCTCCTTTACAGATCATCCATCCACTGCATTGACACACGGAATTCTGTGCAGAATTCATTACACACAGCTCTTCCCAAGGAACCAAGGGGACTGCTCACAAACCTCTCCTCGACCTTCCCCTCCAAAGCGATGGCAGAGACTCTCTCCAGCAGCTTCTCCCGGAGCTCATCGAACACGGACTGGTGGAACTCGAGCCGGGGGGTGCCGTGCAGGTCCAGGAAGGGCAGAGCATACTGCAGCGAGGGCAGCAGCACCCCGTTCTCCGTCTGCAACACACGGGATGACAAATAAAGCGAGGAAACAGCCAGGCAGCACTGGGGGCCATCCCGTGCTCCCTGTCCCCGCACAGCCCGGCCCCACACGGCACCTCCGCGGCGCCCAGCGCACCTGGAACTGCTCGATGGCCTTCAGCGGCTCCGTGCAGTTCGTGAGGGTCTCCTTGAGGTCCTCGCCGTTGGCCACTCCCAGCTCCTGCAGCCCCGCGTACATCTCGGCCTGGCCGGCTCCGCGGGGCCGCTCCCGGCTCAGCTCCAGCTCCCGATCCC